AGAAGTAAGGAGACCTGGTCACTGCATAGCCATCCCCAGCCTGCAGAGGGGGCTCTGTAGGAAGGTCACAAGGCTGGAGCAGAAAGGACTGGCTGGTCTCTGTCCTTGAGGATTGGGAATGGTGACAGACTCAGGTGACCTCATCACCTGCCTCTGTGGACTTTGGGATGGTCCAGTTAGGATCACTGACAGGTGTCTCCCCAGAGATGGTGCCTAAGCTGGGGTTAGAACCCCAGCCTTCCTGATACACAGTGCAGGGAAGTGGTAAGAGCCAACCACCTAAAAAAGTCTGTGGGCTGGTAAGATTGCTCAGTGAATAAAGGTGCTTGTCACTAAGCCAATGAGCTGAGTTCAGTCCCTAGGACCCACGGGGTGGAAGGAGAGAACCAGCTACTGCAAGTTGTCCTTGTTATGGAATCTGTGACCCTGGGAAAAGAACACAGACTCAATCCAATTGTAATTAAAAGATTTATTGATTAGCTGCTAGCAGGACAAACAATCTTTGAGCCGAATTTGAGACTGCCATGAGGAAGGGGTAGAGGGAAGGATTTTGATAGGGGAAAACTTCAAGAAGTCCTTCAACAATGAGGTTCCTCTTTGGATTCCTGAGCACTGTGTGCTCCCTGTGGCTGCTGCTGAAGCCCAACATGGCACAGACCTATTGGGCCTTTGTGAAAAACTCTCCCCTTCTGTTGCCAATGGGGATTGAGAGCCCAATATGGCCAGCTTTGGCAAGCATTAACATAAGCCTAGGAACTCTAGCCATGCGGTCGAATTCTCCAGAAGGAAATGCATGGTAACTGCTTTTTCAAGTATGTTTGAGAACATGTCACCCAGACATCTTGGAGATTAAGGATAACCCTGAAGGTCACTGACCTCCATCTGTTAACAGTAACATGCCAGCTAAGCCTTTTCATTTTCACAACCCTCTTCAAGCTGGTGTAGTACCTACTTTTCAGGAGTGGCTCTGTGCAACATTTATTGGCCTCCTGAAATTCATCTAGACCCCTTTGAAGATACCTTAAAATTTATGAGCCTGAATGTAGCCATTATGAGACCATTAGTTCTGCTCCTTGTAAGCTGCCTGTTTTTTCTTTATGGTTCTTAGTTGTTCTTTTGCAAAGCTGCCAGCTTTAGTCGTGCTGGGATCAAGAAAAATGGGCCTTGGTGGTTCGTGTTCCTGGAGTTGTATCAATGCCAGTGGATGCTCACACGCTCCAGAAGAGAACTTGACATCGCTGCTGCTATTGTTGCTGTTATAGCAGTGGTGGCCACCGCTGCTACTGTTTCTGGGATTACCATTTCATAATTGCTTACTACAGCTAGCACAGTAGAGACCCTGGCAGCAAAAGTAGCTACCACAGTTAGTTAATCTTTCATTCTATTGGGCATGATAAATTTAATTCAATAGTTATATACATTTCAATTGGCTTTGAAAATTATAAATTTATAAACTCAAGTTCCATTTGCTTTTGGGATACCATCTTACAAGGACTCCAGTTTTTAGTAAAGCTCGTTAAGGAAGGGAATGGTGGACTGGAGAGATGGCTCAGGGGTTAAGAGCCCTGACTCTTCTTCCAGTACCCACATGGCAGGTCAGACCTGTCTGTAACTCCAGTTTCAGGAGACCCTGACATGCATGGCAAAAACACAAATGCACATACAAATAAAAAAAAATATATTTAAAAAAAAAGGAAGGGAATGGCTCAGTTGCCTTTAGCCTACTGGCTATGGGTGGGTTAGGACTTCTGTTGGTCTTTTCTGTGTCAAACACACAGATTGCAAGCCCAGTGCCACTTTGAGATCTTTGGCAGCAGTTAACTCTGCAGCTCACACATAATTGGGCCTGTATGATAATGATTATTCAGAGATGGGTAATTCCTGGGAGGGCAATCACCAACCTAAGACAGAGTGCCTGTGTGGCCTGGGCAGGTGTCTCCATGACGGGTAAGGTGACCTGCTGACGTCCCATGCAACCTAAGTCAGAAGCTCATTTTTTAGTAAAAGGGGGACCTGTAGGGTCCTGGCCCCTGTTTTGGGTAACTGTTGCCTTGCTGGCTGACCTTGACCTTAATATCCTCCCTATGCTAATTCCCTGCCTAATTCAGAGGTTCCACCCTCCTGAATGCTTAAGGGAAGTTCCTTGTCTGTGTATCCTGCATAACGGGCGTTAACAGCTTAGATGCAAGATTGTAAAACATTGGTAGCAACTTCTGCCCTCTGGGGTTCTCCCATTGTGCTGTAAGCCTGTATTTAAGACCTCCTTCCTCCTTCAATAAATGGCATTTGGCATTAAAAAAAAAAAAAAGAAAAGAAACAAGGTACAGTTGTGGGGGCACCTCTTTCCAACTTCTAAACAGTTTCTGTGGATTCAAAGCTTTGGTAAATAGCAGCAGCTAAGCTGGTAAGCAGTGAGGAGCATTCATCTGGCCTGGGGAAGAATGAATGACTGGGTGATGCCACCCCAGAAATCCCAAGCATGGGAAAATCCTGTGGCGAGCTGCTTGAAGGGGAACCCAAAGCAGAAAAGTAGAGCCATTCTTTCAGCACCCATGAGCAACAATAAAAAGGACAGAATGAAAGCCCCCTCCTCTGTCATCTCTTCACAGAGATGGAAATCGTGAAATTTAGATGCTCAAACAGATGCTCAGCAATTTAGAATTTGCATTATTTTTGTGATCGGAGGCTGGTGCTGTTTAATACACGTCCATCACATTAAAAAAAAAGTCCTTCAGTACTTATGCAAACAAGTAAAAACTGGTCTGTTCTGCCAAGGTAAGTGGTTAAGGCAATTCAAAACAATCTTTGGGTGCCCAAGACCTGCTTTGGTGGGTGGGGGTAGGGGGTGTGGTGGGGGTGGTGTTTGAATCCCAAAGAGGATGTGTGGAGTCCGTGGAGGGAAGGAAGAGGGTGGACATGATCTGAGGGTGAATGGAGAGGGCTGCTAGTGCCCTTTATTGAAAAAGGCACATATTGAAAAAATACACCTTTTGTACTCAATAGTTTAGCCACAGGCAAGATTGAAAGTACACTCAATGATTCAGGGACAGAAAGTGCCTATTAACTTCATCATAGCATTTTTCCTGAGACAAAAACCATAAGTTCAGCAAGTATCTAAATGCCTATTGTTCTCAAAGGTTCAGTAACTCCACCAGGCACCCTCTTACATTGATAGAAGGACAAGTTCCTTCTGTCAGAGATGAGGAGAATGACTGCTTTAGCAAGCAGGAACTTTCCCCAAGCCCCTGAGGGAATAGAGGCCCTTATCCAAATGCCTGACCTTGAGAAAAGGACTTCCTTGGGGACCAGACACTCCACTCCAATTTAAGAGCAATTTTCATTCCTCAAGGGGCATGATGCAGTGTAAGCACTGAGCTGTTCTCTAATTGTGTTCCTTTGTGTCTTAGTCTTACTCTACGGGCCTGTTCCCCTCATACACTCCCAAAAGGGCAGGTCCTGATGTCTTACTCTTTGCCCATTGTACGGTACCATTCTGATTTCTCTATACTTATTAACTCAACTCTTGACCTTAATGGCCTCAGGCTCTGGATCTCTGGGCCTGGATTGTAGGCATTTCATCCTTGGGATCAGGTGTGCTGGTAAATCTCTAACGTTCCTGTTCTTGGTATAATTAGGAGGGTACATTGGGATTCCTAGTCCTTGGTGGTGGGGATTTTTTTCCAAAGAATTATTTTGTTAAGAGGCCACCATTTTATACATTTTCACCCTGCAAAGCCCACAGAAAATTTCCCAAAGGAAAAGGCATAAAGGAACTCTCATAACACATAGTGAGAATCATTAAAAATGAAGTTAAAAGGTGCTGGAGAATTGTGATCTGCAATATCAAAATGCTGGAACTTGGTCAAGCAGTAACGGTTGCCATGTGGTCCATGCCATTTGGGTGTCTGCATAAGCAAGTTACAGAAACAAAAAAAGCAGTAGCCATATCATAACAAGTAGATGGTCAGGGCTGTGTATTTCTAGGTGGGAGTCACTCAGTTGAGGTTACTAGGAACTTATCCTCCAGGGACTGGAGTCAGAGACAAACCATTGGTGGCTACCAAGATGGATGCCCAGCATAAAATGGAACTTCTTTAGCCATCATACCCACTTGCTGTGGCACACAAATACCCACACACAATATATACATATCAAAAATATTTAAGATGTTTTATTGGAGTGTATTAATAATATATAATAGTGGGTTTCATTCTGACATTTTCATAAGTGTATATAATGTGTTTTGATCACATTCATCCCTCAGTGCCCTCTTTCCCCATCCCGCTCCCATTGAACCCCATCCCTTTCCAAGCTAGTTCTTCTGCCTACTCTTGCCTTTTTGTGTGTGTGAAGCAGAGTTTCACTCTTGCAGGAGCATGGGTGAGGGGTTATTTATGGGAGTATGGACACCTTACTAGTAGTGGCTGCACCACTGAAGAAAAGCTCTTCACTCAATGACTGGTAACTGTCTCTGTGGATGCTTCAGAATCGATGATGAAGATCTGTGTTATTTTTAATCATGTGTATGTGTTTGTGTCTGTGTGTGTGTTTGTGCATGTGAGTGTAGTGCCAGTGAAGGGCCAGAAGAGTGTGCCAGATCTCCTGGAGCTGGAATTGTAGGCATTATGAGCTGCCTGATCTGGGTGCTAGGAACTGAATTCTGGTCCTCTGCAAGAATGGTACACATTCTTAAAAGCTGAGCCATTTCTCAGCTTTAAAACTCAACCAACCAACCATCTAATCAATCAATCAATCAATCAATCAATCAATCATTGTGTGTGTGCGCACACATACTTGCCATGTGAAGGTTAGAGGACAACTTGCTGCATCCGGTCCTTGCCTTCTATCACGTGGGGTCCACGTACTGAACTCTCAGCAGCAAGTGCCTTCTCCCGTGAGCCATCTTGCTGGCTCCTGGATGCTCTTGAATAAAGTTGTCTCCTTCTTGAGTTGCAGCTCTTGCTCTGAGGCAAGACCTTTTTTTCTTTTTTTGGGGGGGGGGGGGGGGGCGGGGGGGATTCAGTTTTCCTCATCTTAGAGCTTTCATGGAGTGCTTTCCACTGCTGCAGGATAAAGCCTTAGCCAGGTCAGGCAGGCGGAACAAAGGAGAACCTTGAGGCTGTTCTGGAAGCTTCAAAACACATTGCGTGTATCTGATGTCTTGACGAAGGAGCAGAAAGTGCAGGAGGAATTCATTCAGCTGAAGAAAGGTGAGAGGGATGGGAAGGACGCCTCCCACCACATCTTCTCTTTAACCCACCCCCTTCTCTCTGGGTGTTGCAGTGATGTAAGGACTTGCAGATGACCAATTGACCCGGATTTCATCGTGGAGAAATGTTCCCACAATTGGAGGCCAAAGTGGTGAGGGCGGTGAGCGGGGAAGGACCTGGGAGGGGGAAGGGTCCTCCCTTCCCTGTGGGTCACATGGTCTCCTAGCAGCAGGGGCCACAAAAGAGTTCCCTACACCGGGGGCTTCTTGGGAAGTTTTAGTTTTTGAAAATGTACGTTTACTTATTTGTGTGAGTGGAGGTCAGAGGACAGCTTTGTGGAGTGGGTTCCCTCCACTATGTGGAACCCTGGTATCGAATTTGGGTGCTCTTAACCACCGTGATATTTCTGCAGCCTTGAGAAAAGGAAGGGAGAAAGGGAAGGAGGGAAAGAAAAGAAGAAGAGAAAAAGAAACTGAAAAAAAAGAGAAAAGAAAAAGATGCTCCAGAATTGAGCTGAAGCGCTGCCGTAGTTCTGCGCACTAACCAGTTAGAATGAACCCTCACCCTTCCACCAGCTCCTCTCCAGAGCTCCGCCTGTCAATCACTCAAGTCTCCTGAGCATTATCCCTGGAGGACACGACAGAGCTCAGCAAAGATTCTCTTCCGGGTATTCTAGTGTCCCCACCACCTCAACTCGCCCAAGTCCTCTTCCGCAGCAGTCCCTGGGACTTTCAGGGATGCTTGGGACGAATTCAAAGTTGACACAGGATCCCTTCATCTGTGCAGCGAGTCCTCAAGCAGCAGCCAGGGAGCTGCTGGAAGGTGAGCTTTGAAGGCACAGCTCAGGGCTGAGTTGCCGACAGCACAGATGGACCACATTCTGGAAGAACGCGCCTCCCCCTCCCCCACAAGTCTCAAGCGCAAACTCTGGTTTGACAAGCATCAAAGGATGTGAGCAGGGATCGTAGAGACGGCTGAGCAAGTACAGGCGCTTGCTGCCAAGTGTGACGATCCAGTTCAATTCCCAGGACCCACAGAGTGGTAGGAGCACAGAGACTCCAGCGAGCTGTCCTCTGGCCTTCCATTGTGGTGGGAGAATTAGTAAAGCCATGGTATCTGGCATGAACACTGAAATGTTGGGATTGTTTTAGACGCGCCTAAGTCCTGAGGAAATCTTGCGTATCTGATCAGTGATTTTTTTTTTTTTCCTGAGATTTATGGAGCTGTTTTTCTGAAGGAGCTTTATGGCCTTCGCATGACTAATCACAAGACACTCCCTGAGAACCTGGAATTCTTGTATTATTGGGTACTGCAAACTGCACAATAAGGACTGAGAAGTGCGTGGGTCATGTGTTCCTTCAGGCAGCACATAGATCATAGCAGAGGCTGTGGTATGAGAAACTTGACTTACTCTAAAAACTAACTTTTGTGTAACCATCAATAATGCATTTCTGCAAAGCTGCTCGGGGGTTCAGACCATTTGAGACGGTTGCCCTGCTGCTGCAAAGCTCCATTACATCCTCGAATGTCTCTCTTTGGTTGTCCTGCGTAACTTAGTATACTAACACACCGTGGCATGTGAGCCTACACATACACACACACACACACACACAGAGAGAGAGAGAGAGAGAGAGAGAGAGAGAGAGAGAGAGAGAGAGAGAGAGAGTATTCTAGACCACATACCAAGCCTGAGAGTTGCAAACTCCTTCTGAAATGTGGATGGCCACTCCTTCACATCTCTGAAATTCTCTTTTCAGGCATGAATGACATCACAGGAAGCTAGCCACCTATCCTGTGTGTCATAGAGATAGGATCCCACATGTCGATGAGGGTCATTCGAAGGAGAAGGTCCTTTGAAATCAAGCCCCTCCCCGTTTTTAAAAAGTCTTTTTATTATTTTTGCATGTGCGAATATTATGTGCATATACACGTGCGGGTATTTGCACATGTGTACTTGTACATATGTACGTGTCGGTGTGTTTATGGAGTCGAGGTTGATTCCAATTTTTTCAGTTGCTCACTTTATCTTTTATTATTTAACTTATTTATCTTTTATTGTTTTATTTTTATTGTATTTATATTGCTCTCACCACTTTTCAGTTCATTTTTTTGAGACAGTGTCTCTCACTGAGCCTAGAGGTCACTGATTGGTTAGACTGACTAGCCAGTGAGTTCCAGGGATCCCCTATTTCTGTCCCTGATTGATGTTTGCTCGATTTTTGCGTGGGTGCTGGGAATCTGAACTCGGTCCTCATGCTTGCACGCACTCTTCACCCACGGAGCCATCTCCCCAGCCCCTTACATTATTTTTATTAAAACATTTACACTTACAGAATAAGAACTAGTGAAAGACGAATCAAATTTTAAAAAGCAACCCAATGGAAACAACCGAACGTGTGGACATGAGTAAACACCACACACTTCCAGCAGCGTTGCTGATCAGGAGAGACACCTGGGAGTACATCTGAACCGCAGTTCCTGAGAGAACACAGTCAGGGAATGCAATAAATTACATTTGCTTTATTGATTGGCTGATTGTGGCTTGTATGCGTGTGCTGCATCAAGTTGTGTGGAGGTCAGAGGACAACTTGCAGGAGTCGGCTCTCTCCTTCCACCACGTGGCTCTCAGGGAATGAGTCCTCAGACTTGGCAGCGAGTGTCTTTATTCACCAAACCGTCATTAATTTAGAATCTGTCGTAAGCAGTCAGATACTAATCCAGCAAATCATGACTTCCCAGGTTTTAAATACAGCACAGCTAATGTGTCCTGAGGGTTAGCTAGAGGTATTTAAAGGTACTTCCCCTTCTCTGATGGGTCCTTTCCCAGGATTCTCCCCCACTCCTACTTAGAAATGCGTAATTACAAACCACGAGCTAAACCTGCATATGAGGGGGTGGGAAGTCCAGTGGTTAAGTGCAGCTGCTGCTTTTGCAGAGGACATGGATTCCACTCCCTGCACCCACTCGGTGGCTCAGAACTGCCTCTAACTCCAGTCCCAGGGGATTCATTGTCCAATTCTGACCTCTCCAGGAACCCGGCACACCAATGGTGAATGTAAATACTTGTAGGCAAAATGCTCATCCACCCCCCCAGAAAAATAAACCATTTTAAAATCCACATAGAACAGAACATGTGGCATTTGTGTTTCTGAACCTGAGTCACACTGCTTCAAATTTTATTTTCCAGTTGCCTCCATGTTCCTGCAGATTAACTTCATTTTTTTTTAACAGCTGAGTAATATTCCATTGTGCATATATTCCCCATCTTCATTCTTCACTCTGTAGTTGTGTTGTTTGATTTCGTTTTCCAGACCTTCGGGAATAAAACAGCAGTGAACACGGATATGCATGTGTCCCTAGTGACAGCAGTGAACATGGATGTGCACGTGTCTCCGTAGTAACAGCAGTGAACACAAATGTGCACTGTAGTAGGAGATGAAGTCCTTTGGGGATGTGCTCAGAAGAGGTACTGCTGGGTCATATGGAAAATTCTATAAATCTGAACTAGCAAGGCCCAGTCCTCCTGTCCCTACCTCCTCAGTGCTGGGATTACAAGTGTGTACCACTATACCCAGCTTTAAAAACCTTTATTTTAGCCAGGCGGTCGTGGCGCATGCCTATAATCCCAGCCCCTGGGAGGCAGAGATGGTAGATCACTGAGTTGAGGCCAGCCTGGTCTACAGAGTGAGTTCCAGGACAGCCAGGGCGACATAGGGAAACAGTCTCAAAAAACAAACAAATCTCTATTTCTTATGTAGGGTGTTTTGCTCGCATGCAGGTCTGTGGGTCCTACTTGGCTTTTTATGTGAATTCTGAAAACTGAACTCAGGTCCTTGTGTTTGCATGGCAAACACTCGACTGACTGACTCTCCAGCCCACGAAAGTTGTATCATTTCACATCCATCTTTTTATAAAAAAGCTAGCACTAGGTTTTAAGAAACTGTTTACTGTCTGTCGAGAGCCCTGAGTCCCTGCATTGTGTCATGACTTGACAGTGCTGGCATGTGAGGGGTTCACGAGACTAGCGTTGGAACAGCGTCCCAGGCTGAAGAGATGGCTTCGTGCTCTTGCAGAAGAGCTGAGTTTAGTTCCTAGTACCCTTTTCAGATGTCTCACAACTGCCGGTAATTCCAGCTGCAGGGGGCTGGGCGTCCACTTCCAGAATCCCTGGCACTAACACACATGTGAGTGTGCACACACTACACACAAATCACCACCCCATCTCTCCACCTCCCTCCATCTTTTTATACCATCTTTGACAACACATGGGATGGTGCACTTTGGAAGAAGGCCGTTGGAAAAGTCTAACTTCTTGTAAGATCATGGTAAGTTTTCTTTTTGCAATTGCAATTTTTAAAAAAGAGAATTAAATCGTTTATTGATTACATGATAATGGATGAGACACAAGCTTCATTCCCATCCATTATTTTATCTGGTACCATTATTCAATTTTGATATTGCATAGGGTGTGCCAACAACCATTTTATAATCAAAATTGTGACTTTGCTTGAATGACCCTTTTAATGGTGAAACTCAGTGAAGACAACAATACCTGGCAGTTTAACTACAATTCTTAAGATAACTAAAGTTGCCAGGAGTGGTGGCACATGCCTTTCATCACCCCAGCACTAGGGAGAGGCAGAGGCAGGCCAGATCTGAGTCTGGTCTACAAAGCGAGTTCCAGGACAGCCAGAACAAAAGTCCTCCTCCCCCCTCAAAGAAAAGGATAACTAAAATCTCCTACATTAAAAAACTAGGGCTGGTGAGATGGCTCAGCCAGTAAAATCACTTGTGGCCAAGCCTGATGACCTGAGTCAGATCCCTGGGGCCCATATGGTAAGAGAACTGACTCCTGCAACTCTGACCTCCACATGCATGCTGTGGTGCACACATTCACACACCAGACACACACACCAACTGGAAGCCGGTGCAGGCATTGGCAGCATGCACCTGTTTATGGGAGACTCCACAGACGGACCACCCCCTCCCACACACCGTCAGCCACATCGTTTGCAAGTTAAGCTCTCAGCAAACTGCCATGGAAGCACCAAGGCTAGTTCTGGAATGCCCACACCAGCGTGATTCCCTTCAGAAAATTCATCTCACTCTGAATTCATCTTCAGCTTAACTGAAACCCAATTACACACTTAACAGTGCCTGGCAACTGAATCCAGGGCCACTAAGCCACTGAAAAGCTCCCCCAGGGAGTCAATTTTCAAAGCAACATCCATGAACAAACAGCTCTGCAGAGTAGAGGCAGTGTTGGAACCAGTGATGCACACTGAGACACCATTACAGCTAAGTGAAAACACTCCCCAGAAAGAAACGGGCACTCGAGAGAGGACTCAGAACTTGCTCTTACAGTTCAGCTCAAGGGAATCCAATGCCCTCTTCTGGACTCTGCAGCAAGCTGAACTCACATGTGCAACCCCACCCCACCCCCCCACCCCCATGTAACTGATGTAAAAAGCATAAAAAGAGGCACTATTTTAGTATGAGTGATTGAGTAAACTTTGTGCTGGGGAAAAAAGACATTTTTATTAGAAAACAAATGTGGAATATATAAATGATAAAGTACAGCCACAACTAGCCAGTTGAGGCCTGTGACAAAATCTGGACAATTTACAAAGTCAGATTTTATTGGTCCCTTAATCACAAAAGCACTTAAATTATGTCGATCAAACATGTATAACTAAGCCAGGTGGTGGTGGAGCATGCCTTTAATCCCAGCACTTGGGAGGCAGAGCCAGGTAGATCTCTGTGAGTTCGAGGCCAGCCTGGTCTACAAAGCGAGTTCCAGGACAGCCAGGACTGTTGTACAGAGAAACCCTGTCTCGAAAAACCAAAAACCAAAACAAACAAACAAAAACCATGTATAACTAAATCAAAAAATACCAACAGAATTATGACTAAGAATCAGAAATCCACACATTTAGCAGTGAGCTAGAGAAAGATCACAGGACACTATCACATTTCTTTGCAATTGTGGCTTCTGGACAGCACTGGAATCAACAGGTTTTAAACTTCTTAGGTTTATGAGATTTGGGGACTCACTTCATTTCATGGGTTTGAAAACATTAACATTGCAAAAGTTCAAGTATTCCTTCATTTAGAGTCTGGGTCTGTGGTGGAGCTTATTGAAGACTTTCCACACTGCTGAAATTCAAGGTAGAACTTTCCCATACTATTAACAGTGATAGGTTTTCTTTCCACTGTGTCTTCCTGCCCATGTGTGCTAACAAGGATGGGCAAAAAGCTTTCCCAAGTTAGTATTCATCTGAAGTCCTCAGCGCTGAAATGCTTCCCAACAGGATGTCAACTCAGGGTTTGACACAGCGAACAAACTGTGGCACGTATTTCTGACTGAAACCAGTGCAGACCTTCGCACACACACTGCACCCGTAGGCTCATTTTTAACCCATGTGCTGGAATGTGTGGAGCACTTCTACTCACACTCAACTTCTAACTCATACTTAAAACTATCCATCACCAATTGACTGTGTATATGCATGTGTCTCCTAAGACTTTTGGAATACGAGAACCCCTTACCACATTCCTGACATTTATAGGGCTGTCCGTTGTGTGTTCTCATGTGATTCTGGATGTAACTGGAACAACTGAAGGCTTTCCCACACTCCTTACATTCATATGGCTTCTCTCCAGTGTGAGTGGTCAAATGATTTCGTAAGGAAGCACTATATTTAAAGGTTTTCCCACACTGCATACATTCATAAAGCTTTTCCTTGGCGTGGCTTTTTTCATGGTTTCGAAGGGAATAGACATACGGATAAGCTTTCCCACACACCTCGCATTTGTAAGGCCAGGCTCCACTGTGTGTCCCTAAATGTCTTCTTGCGCAATGGCCAGAAGTGAAGGTCTTCCCACACTCTTTACATTCATAGGGTTTCTCTCCAGTGTGAATTCTCTCATGTGCTTGAACATGGCTGGAATGTCTGAAGGTTTTCCCACACTGCTTACATTCATAAGGTTTCTCCCCAGTGTGAATCCTCTCGTGTAGTTTAAAGGAACAGTAACTCTTGAAGGTTTTCCGGCAGTGTTTACATTCATAAAGTTTTTCTGTTGTATGAAGCCTTCTGTGCATGTCGAGGGAACTGACAGTCCAGAACATCCTCCCACATTCCTTACATTCAGGTATCTCTCCGGAGTGAATTATCTTATGCCCCCGAAGGGCATCAGCATTAGGAAATGTTTCTCCACACACCTTGCATTTATGCCTGTCTGCATTGTGAGTTAGCATATGCCTATTGGCACAGTGGCGATAACGAAAGGCTTTCTCACAATGCATACATTTATAAGGTTTCTCTCCATTGTGGATCTTTTTATGTTTTTTAAGGGAGCTTGAGCACATAAAGGCTTTACCGCATGTTTCACATTCACAGTATTTCTTTACATATTTCTGATAGTCACATGGTCTCTGTTTAGAGTTGAACATACCATGCCTCTTCGGGGATGACTGACTGATGTTGTGGCAATCAGGAAGTTCAGGAATCTTGTTTATGATATCGACTGGATTTTGGGCTATGGCTTCTCTATACTGGCCATTGTCTGCAAGTTCATGGTCTCTCTTTACCATTTGGATTCTGTAAGAATTAAGAAATATAACCTTAAGAGTTTACTTATTAACAATGTTATACTTATTAGTAGATATTAGATTTACATTGGGAACATTCACAAGGTCCTTTGGGCTTTTATGTGGGCAGAAGTGCTGAGTGAATGCATATTGCTGACACGGGTATGGCCATGCTTCAGACTAATGACAATGGCAAAGCCTTCCTCCAGCCTCCGTGTTAATGTTGACTGTGCAAGTACAAGCATTTACAAACGAGTGACTGGTGTGTGTAAAGACTAGCAACTGTGCTGGGCGGTGGTAGCGCACGCCTTTAATCCTAGCACTAGGGAGGCAGAGGCAGGCGGATCTCTGTGAGTTCGAGGCCAGCCTGGGCTACAGAGTGAGTTCCAGGACAGCCAGGGCTACACAGAGAAACCCTGTCTTGGGGGCGGGGTGGGGGTGGGGGGGACACTAACAACTGCAACTTCCTCATCCCAGATGTTTACAGCCTGAGATTGCTGCCTACAGCCACCTCCTAGAGACAGCAGCTCTGTGGTGTACTAATAAATGCACTCAGGTGCCAAGTGTGGCCTACTTGGTGTGACTCCAGCACTGCCCACCTGACCCCAGCTTCCCTTACGAGTCTGTCCTTTCCTCACTCCCTTGTGGCCCCAGCCACACAAGGTATAGCACTAGAAAGAGGTTTTAACATAAGTGGATTCAAGGGGCTGTAAGATGGCTGGACCATAGCTCCTATCATTTTTTTTAAGATTTAGTTACTTTTTTAAATTATTTTTTATATATTTTCAATAATTTATTTAACTTTATTTTATGTGCATTGGTGTAAAGGTGTCAGATCCCTGGAACTGGAGTTACAGGCAGTTGTGAGCAGTCATGTGGGTTCTCGAAACTGAACCTGAGTTCTCTGGAAGAGCAACCAGTGTTCTTTACGGCTGAGCCATCTCTCTAGGCTCCTTATGTTTTTTTTCAAAGGATGTGTATGTGGTAGTTTGAATGAGAATGGCCCCCTCAGGCCCATGTATTTGAATGCTCTGTCCTCAGCTGGAACATCTTACATAAACTATTTTGCAGACCTTGAATATCCATAGGACACACAAGCATTCATTTTCAGAGCTTAGGGAGATTGTTTTTAAAAGAATAAATAGTCTGAATTTGTGCTCTTTTTAATATTTTCCCAACATCCAGTGATTCTCAGCTGTTTCTTTGTGGGTATTCATTACCTCATATTTCTCTTCAGACTTCTGTAGTAAGCTTCCAAATCCCACTGTTCCCATTGTCTTCCTAAAATACAGATGCAGAACAATTTTAAAAAAGTATAGTGATATCAGCTGCTTGGTGCACGAGGTGAACCTTGGCTGACCGTGTGCACGCGGCATCTTTACTCTGAATAAGCACTCAACAAAGCGAGTGAAACCTCGATGTCATGCTCACCTATAGAAGTCAGATTCCTGTAGGTTTCCTGCATCACATCTCTGTAGAGATTCTTCTGGAAAACATCCAGCAAGGCCCATTCTTCCTGGGTGAAGTTCACAGCCACATCCTCAAAGGTCACTGGGTCCTGAAACATCCCATGTTATTACAAAATAAAGAGACTGGCAGCGGCTGGTGCTTACTCTTTGCTGATACCAGGCTGAGAGGATAATGCTTCCATCAGTTCTAGGGCTTGGTAATTAGACCTACCGTCGTCTACTCTTCCTCCCACACTGCAACTGCAAGCAACACAGTGTTCTAGTTTGATTTCTGTTGCTGCGATGAAACACTCTGAGCAAGAACAACTTAGGTGAGGAAAGAATGTGTGGTGGATTGAATGAGAATGCCCCCACTGGTTCACACAGTTCAATTTTGGGTCCCAGTTGATGGAACTTTTTAGGAAGGATTCGAAGGTGTGGCTTTGTTGGAGGTATGTCACTAGCGGTGGGCCCAAGCCATTCTCAGTATGCTCTGCTTCCTGCTTGTGATCAGATGTAAGCTCTCAGCTACAACTCTAGTGTCATGCCTGCCTGCCACCATGCTCCCTGCAATGATGGTTATGGACTCATCCCATGAAACTGTAAGCAAGCCCTTAAATGCTTTCTTTTATAAGTTGCTTTGGTCATGGTGTAACCACAGCAGTAAAGTAACTGAGAGAGAGTTTATTTGGCTTACACTTCCAGGGTCACAGTCCCTCACTGAGGGAAACCAGGGCTTGGATTCAAGCAGGAAATTAGAACAGAAACTATGGAGGAACACTGCTAGCTCACTGAAGACTCATACTCAGCTACCTTTTTAAAAAAATATAGCCCAGGGCCATCTGTCTAGGGAATGTTGTTGACAGTGGGCTGGCCCTCCTACATCAATCAACAATCCAGACAATTGCTCACAGACAAGACCACATGCCAGTCTAGTCTGGGCAGTCGTTCAACTGAGACTGCCTCAAGATACACAGAAGGAGTAGCCTTTCATTGGTAAGTGCAGGAGATGATGTATATAGTGTAGATTACTATGCAAACATGAAGAAAACTTATTTGTGTGTGTGTATGTATGTATTGGTGACATCATAGGTTTTTCAGGTTAGAGTCCATGGCCCCTGTGAGTACTGTGCAGGCAGTGAAGCTCTCAGGCTGCTTTGTGTTTCTCTCTATGATCCCATAGAAGAAGCTTTCACAGGACAATTGGTCTTGGACATTCATCTTGTATATCCTGCAAACGTCACTGTATCCTGGCAACTACAGCTGTATTGATCCTGGCAATTGCCACTACATTCTGTTCCCGATAAAGGTATAAAAAGTCTGATTGCTCTCAATAAATCTTTCCCTGAAGAGGAATCTCTGGATCTGAGAACAGGGTCCCAGTTACAAAGAGCAAGTTCAGAGAGAATTCGACACAAGGAGACCAGAGAAAATTCCTAGTGATGCTATTCAGCTTTGGAAAGAAATCAACAGTAATAGATAAAAATGACACAGTTAAAATTAATATGAAAGTGATCAGGAAAAAACAACAAACGGGAAGAGGAAAACTAGAACTGAAGATAGTGACTAGTGTCTCTCTGTGAGGAGGTTGAGGATTTCTTCCATGTGCTGAGTTTGCTCCTGGTTTCCTGCTCCCAAACCCTATCCATCAAGTGCAGTTCCTCACAGCGGAAACTTCGCTGCTTCACTTCATCTCTTACTGAAGTTCTTAGGGTAAGAGAATTAACTCCTAAGTCAGGGTACAGGTCTCGGATGCATTGTGCATCCAACAGGAGAAGACATGAGGGGATTTTCTTTTCCCAGTGAGTGAAATGCCTGATCCCAATAATCCAGGACAAGGTAGCAATTATATACCCATTTCATTGAAGACTTAAGGGTCCTTTTTTTTGTTTTGTTTTGTTTTGGTTTTGGTTTTTCGAGACAGGGTTTCTCTGTGTAGCTTTGTGCCTTTTCTGGGACTCGCTTGGTAGCCCAGGCTGGCCTCGAACTCACAGAGATCCGCCTGGCTCTGCCTCCCGAGTGCTGGGATTAAAGGCGTGCGCCACCACCACCCGGCCTCTTTTTTTTTTTTTTTTTGGTTTTTCGAGACGGTTTCTCTGTGTAACTTTGCACCTTTCCTGGATCTCACTCTGTAGACCAGATTGGCCTCAAACTCACAAAGATCCACCTGGCCACCACCGCCCAGCGACTTAAGGGTCTTAAACAGGCTTGTGCTCAGGATGGACCAGGAGCTCCCTTTATACTGTCTCTCTTTGATTCTGTTTCTGGGGAAGCTTTTCTTTCCTTTGACTGGAGGGTTGTAGCAAAGGCTATCTTTTTTTTTTTTTATCTTTTATTTTCTAGTTTTGCTAACTATTTGTTACACTGTATTTCCAGGATTAATAATGGCAATGTGTTTAATTACAAAGTAGACTTATTAACATTTTTTAATTGTTTAATTTAATTCCACAGGGCCAGTGAGATTGACTTCAGTTCAATCCCTAGTTTGAAGAAAAAACAAACAAAAAACAACTGCAAAAGCTTGTCTTACTGGAAGTGAATATATTTATCTGATTTATTTAAAGATGTCAAAGAAATTCTAATCTCAGAAATTAAAACTATTAGAAATCAACAAAAATAACATGCCCATAACTTGGGATGTTAACAGGAGGCATGTATGGTGATACTCAATGACAGATCACACATCCTCCTGAGGCTTATGAACAAATCAACACTTTGGTACTGCAAGCATGGTATAAATTACCAGATTCTCGAAGAAAGACAGAGGAACTTTCTAAAATTAGACAGGGCCCTAATGAGACATATCAAGACTGTTTCCCACCTTTCTCAGGGGGCCAATCACCTGGTGGCTGATGGGCAGGCAGGAATGATTATTGTCAAATAACTGGCATATGAGAATGCTAACACTGCATGCCACACTGCCAACTGTCCCTTTCAAAAGAAAGAACACATAAATGATTACATCTGATTCTGTCTTGACATTGGGCCTTTACATACTTAAGGATTACTCCTGCTGTAGCCCTTGAAGGGCAGGTAGCACTCAACTATTAGCAGCCATTTCAACAAGAAATGAGGAATAACAAATGGCCCATCTTTATGTCAAAAGTTTGTTGCTACTGCTTTAAAAAGAGCTAAAAAATTGTTTCTTCTTGCTTTTATTATACATTATATGGATATTTTGCTTTCTGCCAAAAAAAATGCTAAAAGAACTCTTTGCAAAAATAAAAATTGGCCAGGAAGTGGTGGTGCAGCCTTTAATCCCAGCACTCGGGAGGCAGAGCTAGGTGGGTCTCTGTGAGACCAGCCTGGTCTACAGAGCGAGATCCAGCACAGGCACCACAACTAACAGAGAAACCCTGTCTTGGGGAAAAAAAAAAAACACCAAACCCAACAACAAATAAATAAAAACTGGATTAATCTGCCGGGTGGTGGTGGCCAACGCCTTTAATCCCAGCACTTGGGAGGCAGAGCCAGGCTATCTTTGTGAGTTAGAGTCCAGCCTGGTCTACAAAGTGAGATCCAGGACAGGCTCCAGAGCTACACAAGAGAAACCCTGTCTCGAAAAAACAAAAAACAAACAAACAAAAACCCACCTCCCCCAAAAAATTGGATTAATCCTTTAGATTTATATTCCTCAAAAAATTAAAAAAATTTATTAAATACTCTGGATAACTTAACCCTGGCTTTTGTATTTTATGCCCCTGTAAAACACTGAAAACTGACAATGCTCCTGCATACACCGCCAAGCCTTTCAGGAATTTTGCAAACAATTTGATACAACCCATCACGGGCATTCCATAACCCTCAGGGTCAATCTTTTGTGAAAAAGCTAATGGACAGCTTAAACGTTTAAAATAAAGGAGGGGGAGTAAGGTAGTTTGGCTGCTCCTCACAGAATTTATCCTTTTAAACATACATATAATCTAATTTTATTTTATGTATGTATGTCAGTGTTAGGGCGTCAGAAGCCCTGTTGTGAGCTACCATGGTGGTACTAGGAATTGAACCGGGGTCCTCTGGAAGAGTAGCTAGTGCTCTCAACAGCTGAGCCATCTCTCTCCATCCCTTATCTTCTATTTTATTTACTTAAAAAAATTAAAAAAAATTTAAATTTGGGCAAGGATGGCCTCACTGCTGCAGAACGTTTTTTGGGCCCCTCTAAAACATTTCAGGGTCCCAGTCCTTCCTTTGGAGAGATGTTATGTCTGGCCCATGAATGGCCCAGGTACAGCAATTCACTGGAGCCAAAGGCTGTTTGTGTTTTCTCCTCAGGGTGCTGAAAAGTCAGTGTAGATACCTGAAAGACTGACTCAACCTGTGGAAGATGGATGAAGAGCTTCCAAAGCGCCTCCAGAGGCTACACTCGAAGAAAAGGAGGAGAGAGCGGGTGACTGGGAGAACTGAGGAAATCTCAAGGGAAGGGTGTGGCTGCAGAACTCTGTACTTGCTAAGCTGTCTCGCTGAAGGCATCTGCCACTGCGACTGGGTTTACGTACCTGACCCGCCTGCGCTTCACTTTGCTAGCTGGAAAGAGAATAACATCCCTGTTTATGCAAGTAACTCAGATCCTGCTGTCGCTACTGCTGATCAAGTTGTTCCCTAAGCAAAGACGGTCACATGACAATTTGAGTATTGATGTTCAGACCCTGCACGATGAAATACTAATTATTCAGCATTCAAATGAGATGAATTACCCTCCTCCATTGCTGCACAAAACCTAGCAAAGACTTTTGACCATTATTTTGTTAATAGTTATACTGGGAAGCATTACAGCTTTAAGACTGATTTGCTACTCCATGTCTGCTGTAAAGATTGACTTGCATACCCTAAAAATGAAAAATAAAAGAGGGGAAAATGCAGGGAACCATGGATGTGGCCTGGCCTAGCTGCCCTGAGAGGCATGCATCATAGGTTTTCCAGATTAGAGTCCATGGCTCCTGGGGCACTGTGTGCCTATGCCTTCCCTCAGGCAGTGAAGCATTCAGGCTGCTTTGTGTTTCTCTGTATGTTCCCCTAGAAGTCAAGGAAGCTTTGACAGGACAATTGGTCTTGGACATTCATCTTGTGTACTCTGTAAGGTTTGCAAACATCACTGTATCCTGGCAACTGT